GTACCAATTTTTTCGTGATATATCAATCTTTTGGCTAAGTACTTCGTCCTTTGACCTGCTCCCAGGTGGCTTGTGACTCAGAGGATGATGGAGCTCCCTGGTGGTGAGCTACTTGGTGGCAAACTCCCTAGTGGTGAGCTACTTGGCGAGCTCCCTGGTAGTGAGCCACCTTGATGAGCTGTTGAGTGCACTACCTTGGTGGCGAGCTCCCTGGTGTAGTGCAACCCAATTGCTCTCTTTATAAGATGATTTGCTCCTCCTTGTAGACGGTGGGAGCCGAGGAACCTGCGAGAACTGAATCAGAGGACCCGAGGGTGTTTACTCGGTGGGGCCACTCCGATGGCTACGTTAGCACTCTAATAGTAGAGAGCTTAAAGATGATATTAGAGAAATGAGAGAGATAGAGAGCAGGGGTTACCTCCATTTTTCCTCCCCTTCCCCCCTGGGGGGTCGGAGCTCTTATACAACAGTGTTCTGACAGATTTGGCGTAACCGCCTCTGATTCTCTGCCGCAGCCGTTACTTGCCAGGGTTGAGCTGGTGGGCACAGGTAACCGTTGTAGAGTACGACCCTGCCAAACAAGGGACATCTCTTAAGGCTGGCAGGCACGATGCCGCCTGGCGAGAGACGTGGGCATATATCTCCAAATTTGGCTGGTACGGTTGTCAGGTAGAAAATCTTCCTGTGATACGCCGAGCTGCATTGCAACGAGCTACCTTGCACCGAGTTGCTTTTCACCGAGCTGTCGGCAATGTGCCAAGGTGCTTCTACCCGAGCTGTTTGTAAGATGCCAGGCTGCTTATAAGTGGCGAGCTACCTGTGACGAGCTACTTGTAGCTAGATCGAGTTGTCTAATTGTCAAGAGGCTGCACTTATTGGCATGAGGTGCTAGATGTCATAATTTCACTGGAGGGCCAAATCCGCCCTCATCAGAACTCTAAGTGGCTTTCCTCTTTTGCATGGTTCAAACTTCAACTTAGGAGAAAATATACATTTTTTTGAAATTTAAATGACTTGAAGAAAAATTTCCAACAGAGTACCAACCTTAAAAAATAGTGATACATGAACAAGGAGAAAACCTCTATTGCACTAAAGAAAAAGTCCCACCTTCCATTATAAGACATTTATCAAGCCTTACACAAATAAAATTCAGTCCATCTCCTCCATTTACATCTAATATTGGGATTTTAAGAATTTGCACTATTTCAAGGTGGAAGAGAGAATCACATCTAGAGAGGGAAGGAGGGACGAAGAGGATCGGGGAAGAATGGGCATTCGGGTATTGGCGGGCTCCCATTTGGGTATTGGGTTGAAGGTGGTAGTTGATACGTTGGTGGAAGAGAGAATCACATCTAGAGAGGAAGGGAGGGAGGGAGAGGATTGGGGAAGAATGGGCATTCGGGTCTTGGGTTCCCATTTGGGCATGGACTCCTATTGATACTAATTTCCCTTTTGATTCTTAATGAACTTTCTAGAATAATTTTTAAGGAACTGCTTTACCACCCTGGATTGGACCGGCCGGTTCAATTCAGGTTCCAATTCCACCAATTGGGTTTATGGTCTTTTATAAGAATGTTTTTTTTTTAACTACACCAACATCGATCAGAGCATTATTGCCATGTATATAATTGTATTGTAATACATATTTATGTAAAATTATTAAATACTAAACCATTTTCTATGTATGTACATATGTTAACTTTATTATTAGTCTTGGTTTCTTCATATGAAACATCCCCAAATAACCAAAAAAATAAATTAATGTGAAGGGAAAGTCAGTAGTCACCATCCTGGTGTCAAGTTGGGAACAAAAGACTAATCGTATAATAATTATCAAAAAATAAAAAATGATGACATGCATGTATGTAGAGGTGCATGCAGTACGAAGCTTCAAAGTCAAAATACAATAACGAGAGAGAAGTGAAGTTGAGAGACAGGTATTTACAGATAGATGCAGTACAAAGATTTAAAGTCGAAATTGAGAAAACACATCGCTGTCATTTTGTACAGATGCTAGGATTTTAGTGATATCCGGCAGCTGGTATTGAGAGAGTTCTATATGGGAGATAGCTGTAGCCTGTAGCATCATTATGATCAATTCAAAAGCTAACAATATTGTGAGGAGAGAGAGAACGGTCATGGCACCATGAATCACAGAGCTAGCTCCAAGCAGGTACCCATCCTTCCATTTTTCACTACTTCTCTGCTAATCGATAAGGGTTATGTTTTCTCCACAGTCCACACAATTAAAATCTAATGTAAATACCTTGGTTCTGATAATATATCATAACACATGATGGGACTTGATAGCAAAATCATCCACCTCTGCCTCACATATAAGCTTTTTCCCTTTTCCCTCTTCCCTAGCTCTGGTGACAAAGGTACATCATAAAAGGACATTTTAATTTTTAAGTGCTCTACTACATGTAAGCATGCATGTCAGTCTTTTCTTTTTTTTCTCTTATTGAAGCATGCATTATGTACATATTCTATATATTCCCTTGGCTTTTAGGTCCTAGCTTTATATATGAGAGTTTTAGAGCCCGTTTGGGAGGCTTGGGTTGATTGAGCTGTGTTGCTTGATCCGCTTTTGGAGAAGCTAGATGAGATAACTTCACTAAAAAGTCGATTTTACGACTTATATAAATTAATTTTCGACTTTCTGAATTTTTATCAAACATGGCTTCAGCCCTCCTAAACGGGCACTTATTCAGCTACAAATTGAAATTGCAAATGTCGCTTCAACAATGAATTAACGACAAGCATGCAGTTGTCAGTGTACATGAGATTGAATTCAGCTCGTCTCTATTGACAATAATGCTAGTGTTGGTGGTTGGGGTCATAAAGAACAATTTCTCAGAAAACTACTACCCATTATAAGCGCTAAAGGCATGCAAGAGCTGGTTGAGAGATTTCGATCGGCATGGGACATGAGAAAAAACACAGGCATGGCTCCATGTACGCGGTATATATATGCTCAGACGAAACACTTTGATAAGACTGTATGATCTGTGATTTGATCACATCTTTGTTTCATTCTCCATGTCCTATGTTGGGGTTTGAGTTGGGGATTAGAATTCTTTGTCAATGATGCTTTGATATTTGGGAGTATTATCTTGGCTGCAACTGCAGTACAGCACTGACCATCATAATACTCTCTTCCTCTGTCTCTGTATTTTCTCCTTTCTCTTTTTTCCTCTCTGTCCCCTTCTTGTTGTATCAAGTAATGGGACAGACACTAACTGGTTATGGGTCATATCCCAATGAGTTCTTGAACCATCCAAATTTATGTTGTTTGGATGGTTAGGACAATCAGCAGCAAGCACACACACATTATCTCTCTCTCTCTCTCTTTCTCTAAAATGGAAAATAGAATTAAAAAGCCTTTCGGGGGGCTGAGCATAATACATACAACAAGCTAGGGCCCTTACCCAATGCCCAATGTTGGTCCCAGATCTGAGGTCATGGGAAGGGGGGACTGGATATACAGATGACCTGAAGAGTTTTAACATTTGTAGATCAGACTGAAACCCACATTTTCACCTTTGTCGGTCCAAGATTTTACCATTGCACCAAGCCATGCATGAGCATGGCCCCTCTGGGCTATGCCTCTGCCTAAATATACAAATTAACAAACTCTCTTCTAATGGTTGGACCATTAGAAGGTTGGATCAAAATCGAGATGGTTGGACCAAAATTGCAAAAAGAAAAGAAGTTGGCACATGGAGACAAGAAAGGGGCTGTGAAACTGACCTTGCTTCTCATCTTGTCTACAAGCTTTGTCACATGGAGACAAACTTGGGAATTCAGATAGTACTCTACAGTATTTATTGTCAGCTTGCCTTATTCCTCTGTTTGGAACTCTAAATTTAACTCGACTGAGTTGGCTCATTCACTAACTACATGTCCATTTTTTTTTCATTTGTTTATATCTATTTCCTTTATGCACCATATAGATTTTCTTTCCTTGAATTTTTTTACTTTTGGTGATTCTCTAACGAGTCAACTTTACTGACTCGGCTGAGCCACTGAGGTACTAACACCATACCGAACTTTGACAGTTTTAAGTATATTGATGTGGCTTACTGGTATGAGTGATGCGTCCCATCACTTAGATTTGTCCAACTGAAAAAAAAAAAAAAACAGTTGGGATGACCCATCTATCAATATTGCTCTTCTGTACAGCCAGTGTAAACCATGGCCAGATCCCAGATCCACACATTGATGATGATGAGTGATGATGATGATGATGATGAGGCCATTATTGATCTTCTTTAAGGTCAATCAATAGACATGTGTAACCGATGGCAGGTCCAATCTAAGTTTCCCACCTGTCACTCTGTTGGCTTCATAGTTAATTAATTCATCAATCGACCCATCTCAGTGATCTCACCTTTAACATAAATAAATAGTTTTCGGACTAATTTGGAAGATTCAGGACTTCAGGTTCCTTTCCTTCATGAGGGCCCCAGACAACAGCCAAACGCACCCTAACTAAAAGAAAGCTTAGATTTAGAAAAATAATGAAACAAGTAGAAAGAAGACGCTTGGATATGGGGTGCTCTGTAACAGAAGAAAACTCTAAACTCGAAAGCGACCAAAGAGAAGTGTTGTCGCCTAATATGCGAAATGGGTCGACATCAAATCAAACTAATGGTGGGGGCCCCCCCTCCTCACCTCACCTACACCTAAACGCTAAAGCTCTCATCTCATCTCATTCAGCTCCCCTCCGTATTTATCTGGTTAGCATTTCACTTTAAGCAACGGAACATAATAAAGACACCATTAATGGAGTTTCCCTTCTAAGTAAACAAAATTCAAAATCGGAATTAATCAAAACATGACCAAAGTAAGAAACCCATCATCCTCTCTTGACCAACACATTCACTATTTTTTTTGTAAGGTAAAATGTAAATGTAAGCCATCATTCATCACTGCTTTCCCTTTCTTTTGTTTCTCTTTCCTTTAATTTTCCTCCCTTTTTAGCTTGTATATGGATGTATATCAATCACTGCTTCTATCAAACTATTCTTGGACGAGAAGTGAAAGGTTATGATGACAATGAAGTAACTAATGAACCAAAAAGATTTCACTTGACTACAAATATGATTTTACAATTTTACTAGAAACAAAATCCACCCAATTAAACATGATCATCATAGAGATGGCCTGCAGCCCCCCCTGCCGCCTATCGGATTAATCATTTTTGAAACTCGCCGTTTTCTTCCACAGTCCTCATTTCCGGTGGCTTGATCCACTTGGTTAATTTCTCCTCCGTCGACGGCGAGGCGATGATGCAACAATTGTTGATGATTTTCTCACAGACCCAACAAAATGTAGTAAACCAGCGTGATGGGCAATGCAATCAGCATCCCAAAAATAACACTACATTAACAACAGCCATCATATCTTAATTAGTTAAAAGCTCGAAAGTTGAAACACACAAAGTTACTTAATTGGTTACACCAAAACAGTAAAAGCTTGAAGAACCAGATCAGAGGAAGCAAGAAAAAGTAAGAGAGTGTAACTCTGCAAGGGAAAATATATATATATTGATAGAACACTCACGCGGTACTGAGAATATCAGGATGTACGTTGTATTCCTTGGCGAAGACAAAGGGGACAATTCCCTGTGGAAGAGCAGCCTGGTTTTCATTGGACATCCAAACATCAAAAACGTTAAAACTTGTAAAGAAGTGTAAGCCATAGTTTTATTCTTTTTAGGTTTTCCTTTTGATATTGAAGTCGGATTCGAAGTGTCAGAGTAAGAGGCAGGATTTAGGGAAGAGAGATAGGAGGAGGAGGAGGAGGAGGAGGAGGAGGAGTGACGAGTAAGTGATCGAGCTACCTGTACAATGGCGACGTGTAAGAGAACGCCCCGCAGCCCAACAGCAATGGAAGCAGCTGCCATGACAGCTGGACCTGTAAGGAATCTCACAGCCATGGCAAAAGATGCTATAGAATTCCCACATGCTATGATCCTCGGTTGCAAGGCCATGAACAGACCTGTATTTGTCCAGTGGCATGCCCATCAACCACAGTCACTTACACAAACACTATCTATACTAAGGACCTTTCGTCATCGACATGAGACAATTATCATGAGGATCACTGTTTTGGTGAGCTTTTTTATTATAAAAGATAAACTAAAATAACAAAAGTGAACAAAGCACAAAAAATAGAGGGACAGAGAGAGAATTTCTTGGGTTGTGAGTGTTGTTTGAAAGGAAAAAGTACTAACCCAGACTGAACATGGCCATGCCAAGGCCCGCATCTGACAGTATTGAGATGGACTTTGCTATTATAGCAGGCATCTCAACGTGCCACCTGCAACAAATCCAACAGCACAACAAACACATTTAACACGAAACTCCATTGCTGCTAAGTCTAGTTGTGGCCGGAATCATCACAACTCAGAAAAACGATTGAACAAGTTAGATCCTTTCCGCGTGTTTTATTCGTTTGTTTGTATATATACCTGAATGAAATTAGAGACCAAGTGAGGCCGAGTAGGCTGGAATATGTGTTGGGGTTTCGGATGAGTTTCCTCCACACCATGATCAGAATAAGCCTCGTCATGACACTAGCAGGAGGCATGCCTTTGGGTTTGCTATCACCCATTTTGTGCCCTGCATCGTTCATCTCCCTATCTACTACTACTCCACTGTAATCATTTCTCTCCATGTACTCTTCTTGGTTCTCTCTACGACCCTCCACTGATAACCAAGATCAAACACATGAGAATCATCAGGATTCAGGAATAAAGACGAAGCTCCAAAAGCCGCAAAAAAAAAAAAAAATAAATAAATAAACAAAACCCATTAAGTATACATTAACAATGAAAAAAAAAAAAAGGAAAAAGGTAAAGCTGATTACCTTTTCCGGGAGAAACAGCCATTCTAACATCTTTTACAGTCTGGTCTGCAACGCCATATTCTTGACCACCAAAGACATCTGAGACTGGAGAAGCACTTGAGCTCCAGACGAACATATGAAGATCTTTCGTCCCTTCTTCTGGTTTCTGCTGCACTTGGCCATTGGTGGTCTTTTTAGCAGAAGTAGCAGCAGCGGTGGCAGCTGTATTATTAGAGGCCGGTTTGGATCCAGTAGGAGAGAACATGCCGGGATTTGGAGCCGGGTACTGTGCCCCACCTGTTGCATGGTGATGGAATCTAGCCTTGTTATCCTCTTCATAATTAGACGGCCTCGGTGTCGGTCCTCTCGACGCTGAAAGCCCATAAACATCCGAGGCTCCGAAGTTAGAGTTCCGGCCACCGGCAACCATTGAGTAGAAATCCGTGTGATTGAAGCTGGACCCTCTTGGAGTTGGGTTCCTGGACGACTGCAGAGAGTATATCTCTGCATTTGTTAAATTGGAAGGCCTCGGCGTGGTCGACAACCCTTGAGAGCGTCTAGAGAAGATCTCTGACCTGGAAGCATTGGACTTCCTTACAGTAACATGAAGCTTCCCGTCTTCCTTAATTTCCGCCTGAGTCTCCAGCGGCTCACGGCCATCCAACGACATCACATCGGAATCAACAGCGATGGACACAATGGAACCAGCTGTCTCCGGAAACTGCTCAGTGATCAACATCTTGGCCCCTCTGTACTCAAACATGAACAGCATCAAAGTGTACCAAATGATGCACTGAAGCACCACGATTTGCACCATTAAACTCCCCGAGAAATCTCCATACATCCCTTTAAGCAAAGGGATGCCCATGACGAGCGTGTTTGGGAGAGTAGACAGAGAAAAGAGCGTGATGGTCCACTCCAAGCAGCCTCGCTTGCTGACGTTGGACCACACGGCCAAAATGCCCAAGACGATAAGCTTTTGAAGGGTATCAGCTGCGATGAAGCGGAAGTTCATGGCGTAGGGATTGTTGGTGGAGATGAAGTGGAAGGAGAGAAGTGGAACGGCAAAGAGGGCAACGAAGCGATTGATTCCGGAGCATTGATCCGGCGAGAAGATCTTCCACCATTTGACAGAGCCATAAGCTAAGATCATGGCCACGTAGAGTGGAACCATTGCAGTCATGACATGGTAGAAGTCTAATAATTTAATCATCTTGGCTGAACCAGAGGTCTTCAACTAACCCTTTAACGAACCTAACGAACAAGAAAGCAAGAAGCAGGAGGGGTTGAGAGTTGAGGGAGGAGGGAGGAGGGAGAAGAGAGGAGGACGCAGCACGGCAGCAGAGAGTAAAGGAGAAGAAAAAAGTTGGAGATAGGGAGAGAGAAAGGAGTGAGAAGGGTTTATGGCATCGAGGAGCATGTGTTTTGGTTGTTTTGTTTTTGCGTAGTGGACTAGTGGGGAGAGGTTGCAAAGTGCAAACAAACTACTCTCTCACTCTCACTCTCACTACTCTTGTAGTCTAATACTCTATACAATACAACCAGCTTTGAGAGTTGCGCATAAGCTCCCCAATCTCCGATGTAGGTAGAGTGGGTGATCTCTCTCTCTCTCTCTCACTGTTTTCTCTTCTCACTTTTATTCTGAAGGGGAGCTTTCTTTTCTTTTTCCTGGGGCTCTCTCTCTCTCTCTCTCAGCAGTATATGTGAATGTGAAGGAAAAGCATTTGGTTCTTGTGGTGTATGTCTGAGGTCCTTTGTTTAGGAGCTTTTAAGCTTTCTACCACCGCTTTTTCTCTCTTTTGGTCGGATGGCTTTTTGATTTATTATTTTTTTAGTTTTATCTCATTGATGGGTTGGGGTGGCATGATCCTTGACCCGACATGCCAACCCGCAGAACTGCAGAAGCCAATTGGTTTTTGAAACTGGGTTCTTCACCATCATTGACCCGATTCCCAACTTTTTTCACCTGCAATACCGAAGACTCTCTCTCTCTGTAATTTTGTGTATGTATGGAATGAGAATTGGGACCACATTACCACAAGACTAATAAAGAAGTTTGGGGCTCCATAACTTGTAACATATCCCATATTTGGAGGATCCGTTCCCATCATTCAAGGTCTCCCGCCGAGGAGATTTGTGAGCCCAAAATAGGGGGTGAGGTATCTGCAATCCAACTATATATTGTTGCTTTACATAATACTTGGATGGTGGAGAGAAGCTCAATGGAGACTTTTAGCTTAATTACTAATTCTCCAACCAAACGCTTTAAAAAAAATAAATAATCTGGTTATACATTGATTCCTGTAGGCCCTCTTTCAATGAGACCATACAAAGCCCGGTCTTAGTCCTAGCTACGGAAATGTATCACATGACCAGCTACGGACTACGGAGGGCCACTGCCCAAGATGACAAACTACTGGTCCTGTGGCCCTGGCCGTGGGCCCAAGACTCTGTCCCCTCGACTCCAACTACCAATTTTTAACCCGACCCGAAACTGGCCCAACATTCCTCATTGCCTCCATTAATGGGGTGGTGAATGCATTTATCTTTGTGATTTTTTTCGAATAAAAACTGCAGATAAGGCTGTCAATGGGTCAGCCGGTCGGGTCTACCCAAGAGAAGAACTGATTATGTCAGTTCTGGTTATATTGTTTTGTCCCAATTAATAATTTGATCGAGACCGGTTATTGCTATTCTGAATTAATTATATATAGTTAATAATATCCTCTTAGCTTTTTTTTTCAATTTTTGTTATATTTTATGTCTAAAAGGATATATTTGACAGACAGTATATAATATCAATATTAAACAGTTTAATATTATACTATCATTTTTATCAAGATTATATGATCAAAGATAAAATTGAAGCTGTTATTATGATAGGTAGTTATAGATGTCAAGTATAATCGGGTCTAATGGGTCAGACCCAATTATCCTGATCATTAATAATTGGTTTCAATTCTGGGTCAATCTTATGGAATCGGTTTGGGACTGGTATAAGGCCCGACCCATTGACATCTCTATATAAACATGGAGATGAGAATAATGAATACGAAAGAGAAAGCATTTCAAATCAAAGGAGTAGGACTATGTCTCTTTCATTTCGTTGATATTTTATTGGTGGGAAGATTTTTAGTTTTGAGGGTCTCTGGAAACTCAACACTTTTGCCCTATGATCATCATTCATGTCTAGATTCTCTTGTGGAGAATAATTAATCCATCAGGCATGCAGTTCCATAGTGTACTGGAATTCATAGATAAGAGGACCAGGATTTTCTGGGCTTGATCATCATGTATCACAGTACTATACCCAATTGGGTGGACCTACTCTTCAGTATATCTACCAGCTCCCTCCGTGATCTTAACCATCTGATCTTGATCAACCTTCCCCATAGGTACATATCATACCAGTGATCACTATTGACACTGTTCTTCATGTTCAAGTACAACAAGATTGGGCCTTCCCCCTCTTTCTGGGCTTCATCATGTATCATAGTACCATACCCAATTGGGTAGGCCCTGCCCTTAATCTTAACCATCTGATTATCTTAATCAAATTTCCCTCCAAGTACCTAATTAATAGTTCTTAATATAAAATGGATTCTAGTTCAGAGAGAGAATAAAATACTTCCCACGCATTGAGTTGGGACAGAAGTTAGTATGTCAGAAGTGTATTAAAACAACACTAAGCTTAATTGCACGCACTGCAAAATTGGCCCTCTTCTCTAGAATGTAAGTGCACGGTTTTGATTTGTTTAATTACACTATTCCACATTGATTTCCTCATCAACCCCATTTTTGACCACTTGAATCTCAAAAGCAATGTTTTCTCCCTATGATGGGGAGCTTCTCAAGGAGGAGGGGACTCAAATCAGCTGTTGGTTAAAGGAGAATTAATTACACTGTTTGTAGGCCCACCAAGTACTATGTTTGGAGTTGGACCGTTTGATCAAGCCTCTGGATAACTTTGATCGAAGATTGAAAATTCTGATTGATCTGATGCTCAAAGTTGCCTTTTCAATACGGACCTTTTGGCCCTCCTCCCGGTAGAAGTGTAGAACCCACATGTCAAATATTTATTAAATAAATTTTATTATATTGGGAAAATTTTGTGAATGATATTGCCACGCGCTTTTTTATATTGACAGTGGAGATTCCAATTCCTATGTCGAGGGAATATTCTCAAACATCATTAAAATAAAACAGCGCATTGAAAATATTATAATAAACCTTTTTATGCAAATAAACTCTTCATTAACTTTATACTTTTCTGTATATTAATACATTGTAGATATGTTAACAAAAATTTTGGTATTAATGCCTAAATCCCAAACTTAGGTTGTGTTTAGATATGCTTCAAGATTTGTGCTCTCAAAGCCCAACAGTTATAAAGACAAAATGGGGTACAATGAATTGGGATCTCTGTGTCCTCACAGAGTGCAGCTCACACTGACCTTACAGCCGCATTCTACCGTGTATTGAAAACATTTTCTATGAATAATAACATAAAAGTAGGAGATATATTTTTAATAGTTGGTGTATAGAGCAGACCAGACTCGGGTATGATTGGTAGCCAGTTGCAAAACCAGTCTATCACTACCAAAAGAGACTCTCTCTCCTCGTAATTAACGTTCTTCAAGGTGTCTCAAAGGTCCCGTGGCAATGTCATTCACTTCTTATGGAGTGCAGGAATTTGGTCCAGACATGCCCACAAAGAAGGCAACTTAGCTGCTGACTGGCTGGCCAACCATTGCAAGGAGCTGGAAGACTCAAGTCAAAGTTTTCCCCTTAGGATTTCAGTTTTTTAGTAGGTGTTTGGCATCGGTGCTGGGAGCATCGCACCATTTTCTGAGAAAAACAGTATTGGGTATGTGGAGTTGTAAGTACTTATTTTTTGTTTGGAACCGGTAGACATTTTTTGAGAAAACAACACTGATTTTGTTTGGCACTTGTACTAGCAACAACGTTTTTAATGTTGATCTATATTATCCAACGTTTAAGATGATAACATGTCATTGCATCGTTGGCAACAATGCACCATTTTCTCGAAAAGCATTGAATTTGGTGTTGCTCCATACCACACTTTCCCGATTTTCATAGCATGGTTTGGAAAAACATTTTTTTTCTAAAAAAACGGTACCAAACAAAGGTGTTGTTTGAAGCACAATTTTCTCTGATATAGCGCCTACATGGCACCGTTTTCTCAGAAAATGGCATTGATGCCAAACATCGCCTTAATTTTTTCTGATGCAGCAGGGAGGGTTCTCCCCCGCTCAAATCCCTAATTTTAAAACCAGTTTGTGAGGGCTTCAGCTTTGATTGAGTTGCTTTCATTGATCCGCTTTGAAGAAACTATTAAAATAGTTTTACAAAAGGTCAATTTCATGACTGATTCAAATTAAAGCATATTAGGGCTTTCTTGGTTTTTCACCAAATATAATTTCTAGGCTTTTAGTGTGGCACCCACGTTGCAAAGCTAGAAGTTGCTTTAATAGCCCTTCCAAAGGGGCACTTAGCTTTGTGTTTTGCGGTTTAAAAGCATTTTGACTTCAGATTATAATGTCTTTAAAAGCAACTCTTATCAAGCACTCACAACACTTTTTTGGCTCAATTTTATTTTCCATCCCAAATCTTAAAATAAAGCAAAAACTTATCTAAATAGAGCCTTAATTTTTCTTTCCAATTAGTGTGAAAAAAAAAGTAATTCTTGTTTAATTGTTCATCATTTTCAAGGTAACTACCATATTTTGAGAGTAAAATTTGCAGTCTATTCCATTTTGTGCACTTCTTATACAAATAATTAAATCAATAACAGATTTTCAGAAAATTGGGCACTTAAATTGATATAAACAAAGTATTATAATTTTTATATCTGATCAAAATTTGTTTCAATCAATTCAATGCACATCTGTGTAAGTCATATGCTACTGAATGAGGATGAGTAAAGAACAAAACAAAACAAAAAAAAAAATACATAAAACTTCATGTATTTCCTCAATCATAAAAAAATATTCCAATCACGCGTGTTAGGCAAATTCCATCATGCATTGAATAATGTATTCCGTTTGATTGTTTCCAATTAATTATCAATCCAATATTCTCGATAAAATAAACACAGATTTTACATAGACAAGATAAATTATTAAATTCATAAAATGAGTAAAAAATACTTCCATTTGCTAGGCCACAAATGAAAGACATAAACTTCCAACCATACCACCACCAAAAACAACAACAACCATCTCTGTTTGTTAAAATAAACATATAACAAATAGACATATACAACTATATTATATGTAGAGTAGTATATAAAACAGTTGCAATACTCTACCATAGTGAGCTGAGATATATCTTCTGCCCCGATTCAAATTACTAAAAAATGTTAAAAATAATAAAACATTGTTAGAACTATTTGACTGAATTGTTTCCTTTTTTTGTATGATCTCAATTCCACCACCACCACCACTATCATTATTATCATCGTCATCACATATAACAACAACAACAACAGTGATAATAAACAATAGCTATATATAATATAGAAGTTATAGGACTTTTGTTATATTGTCCTAGACTTCTTTGAGGCAGACTTATAATACTAGTTAAGAAGGTGAAAGATTGATGCTCAACACAGATACTAAGTCCACAAAAATTGAAATTGCAAAATTGGTCAGTATTGTCATTACTAATATAACATATTTAACAATATGAGAACCCAAAATGTAAAGATAATAATGGTTAAT